AAAACAAACAAAAAAAAAACAGTAATGTTGTTAAATATTATTATAATTTAGAATAGGTGTTTTCTGTGTGAATATATTGTAAATTCGAATTTATTTATGTGATGTAATGCTGAATTTTCAGCATCATTACTCTAGTCTTAAGTGTCACATGATCCTTCAGAAATGATTCTAATATGCTGATTTGCTGCTCAAGAAATTAAAAAAAAAATTTTTTTTGCTGCTTAATTTTTTGTGTGAACTATGCTATACACTTTTAGGGTTCTTTGATAAATAAAAAGTGTAAAAACAAACATATACAAATAAATATAATACATCTTTTGTAACATTATAAAATGCCTTTTCTGTCACTTTTGATCAATTTAACACATCCTTGCTGAATAAAAGTACTAAGTTCTAAAAAATAAAATCTTACTGACCCCAAACCTTTGAATGGTAGTGTACTGTATATATTATGATTGGTGCATGAATTTTGAACTTGTCCTTGATGTGTAAATCTCACAAAACTGTAGAACAAGTTATAAAAAGTATAGAGAAATTATTTTTAATCCAATTTGTGTAAAAAAACCCCCAAAAAACAATCAAATATTGAGTCGAGAAAGATATGTTGAAGGGAAAATTCACCTAAAAACTATCCCTAAAAAAATTGCTTCAAATACTGTTATTACACTGGAAATGCAAGGTAATGTCAGATGCATTAAATTGTGGAATACAGTATCCACACACAGCTGCATACTACACATTTATCATATTCTCTTCATTCAGAACATTTGCATACTTTACATACATAACCGAAATAATAAGAGTAGTATGCACTTCTGAACATTATCTCTATTTCTTGTGTCCTTGGTTGAGGACTGAGCAAATAGCTTTTAATTCTTGGCAGAACATGAAGTGATTATGTTCATCACCCTTCTCTGAACTGTCTCTTATATTTCATTTTCTCCAATGTGCATTTGACAAAATGGCTATTATTCATATAAAACGTACAAATTAAGAGATCTTTGTATGGAAAAGATCTCAATCTAGTTGTCAAGCTGACCTGAAATGCTTTACAGTCTATCTGCCAGTCTCTTCATTTCAAAGTGATGGTGTGATGGTACGTTTAAAGATGCCAGAGGTCAGGCTTGCAGCAGTTTAGGGATAATTGGATTGCAACCACCCCCTGATAGATTTGATTGGATGAGCGAGAATGTTTTAAGTCACTAGGTTGTGGGTGCTGCATGATGTTTTGTATAGAAGCTCGACATCAAAGTAAAAAACTGGGAGCAGGTGGAAACTAAACGGAGTGAAATTCTCGTAATCAGAGAGGCAAACAAGCAGATGAGGCGTTTTCTCCATCTGTCTTCGTGTTTACATTAAACAGCAGCAATGATTTATCTGACTGGTCTTTGAACGTTTCCAAGTGTTTATGCAACTGGTTTTGAAGGCCGCAGGAGTCAGATTATGAAGTTTTTTTTAGCATTTTTGAAAGAAGTCTCTTATGCTCAGTAAAGCTGCATTTATTTGATCAAAAATACAGTAAAAACAGTAATATTGTGAAATATTATTACAATTTAAAATGACAGTTTTTCATTTTAATATTTTATATGAATATTTTAAATGATAATTCATTCCTTTGATAGCAAGTTTGAATTTTCAGCATCATTACTCCAGTCTTCAGTGTCACATGATCCTTCAGAAATCATTCTAATATGCTGATCCGCTGCTCAAGAAATATTTATGTAAGAAATGTTTATGGAGTAATGATGCTGAAAATTCAGCTTTTGCATCACAGGAATAAATTACATTTTTAAACATATTCAAATAGAAAACAGTTAGTTTAAACTATAATAATATTTCACAATATTACTGTATTTTAATCAAACAAATGCAGTCTAACATAAGAGATATCTTTATATAAAATAAATATGAGTGATAGCATAAATGATAGAATATTTATTAGTTATATTATATAAGAGATAATATTAATACAATTATATATAAATAGTATGAATGCAAAAAATATTATATAATATTATTTATATTTCAAACAATGACTGAGATAAAAGGTACAAATTTGATATAGCTTCCACTTCATGTCACCCTGAAAATGCAAGTCAGATGCACTGCATTTTGGGATACAGTGTTTCATGTCATGCGCTCTGTCCACACATTTAGACAAATGTAGTAGTTTATCTGAGAGCTTCATGCATACAGAAAATCTGCATATTGTTCACACTTTCTTACTGCACACTGCACTGCAATAGTAATACTATGGTATGTTGAACTTAGCAAAACTGACACCAGGAAGATTTTTTAAGATAGATTTTGGGTCAGCAACCCAAGTATTGCAGTTCCTGTAATTATTTTTAGCCGATAGATGCTCAGTGTGAACACCCATGGGCCAGATAGGAAGGAAGTGGTATTTTTTCTCTGATCTATAGTTGGAGAATCAAGACTCTCAGCTGCAGCTCACAGTTGGGATTGCATTTATCGTGCCTTTTCTTTCCGAGAAGCCTCCGACTCATTTACTGAATCCGCTGTGCAGTACCTGAATCTTATTTATGCAGATGCTGCAGTTTCACATTGAGGCGAACTTCACACTGGCCTTGTGGTGATCTCTAATAATACCGCCGGTGCTGCTGTGGTTTGACCGTGCCTTTATATGGCTGTGAGTTTAAAGCCAAGAACACGAACCGACAACCAATTAGTGGCAGAAATGTTTTTGATCATGCATTGTTTGAAATCAGTAAACAGATGAGACTAAGGAAATGTAAAAATAAATATATACATATGCACAATTATGCTACCGCACAAAATTCATGGCTAATTAATGTATTGTCTCTTGTGATCTGCGCAATACGCTGATGAACCGGGGTCGTTAAGACTCTTTTTAATCAGTGACCCAACAATCAGAGGCTGATTAACACTCTCCAGATCTCATCAGACGCCCTTGAAATAAAGATGGGCAATTTAGTCAATTTACCGTAAATGAACACATAAAAGTAATTGTCAAGTCCTGCTTTGCACCAAAGCCTGCACGCTATTGGTCAATCTACTTCTTAAATTATAGGAAAAGAAGCCAAAAGCTGGACATTTCAGACAATTTAGAAATCCTCTGAAAAAGAGGACGTATATGGTCACCTTAAATTTGGCCAAAATGAGGTATCTTATCTTCTTGAACCTTTAATGTGTGTCAAAAATGTAGCTGTGCTGTCTATGTAGGTAGCTCACTAGGTTTTCAAACAGAGTCAGTGGATGGATTTAGTTTTGGTGCGATATTGGTGCATTCAGGTCCTCCTGGAAAGTTCATATTTACTAGTTGGGAAGTCGTAATTAATACATCAGGTATGTTTAGATAACTTTGGTCGAGCAGGTTAGCAATGTACCTTTTCCACAATAAATACAGCAAGGTTGTTAATGCCTACAAATTGATGAATAAAAAAAGAATTTGCATTAGTTGTGTTTTTGCTTTTTGATGTTTTTATTCAAGTTATGAAGGTGTCTCTCATTACAATTCGTAACTATTTTACATTTAGGCAAATTGGTGGCTAATTTGTATTGGCTAAATCGTACATTGTTATATGGTTTTGTACAATCTGCTTATGTTAGGTTTAGGGGTAGACCTTCATGCTTATGGTTTTTTTTTTCCTAAAAACCATACATTTCTGTATGATTCACATGGAATAACACGAAATCGCCGCCTTGTAAAATAGCATATAATTTTCTCATGAGATCATGTTGAAGGTGCTGAAAACGAAATTGTTATATAATCTACCATAATTGTAAAATGCCATCGTATTTTGTACATGCAATTTAGCTACTTTTATTTTAAATGAAAAAATAAATAATCTCATAAATTTCACCAAAATTACCGTAAACTACAGATGATGCATCTATTGCGTCTGTCATGCGTTCTCACTGCATCTGACTTTTGATTCATAATTCCAAATTTGTGGTGACGTACTGTACATATGCATTTAAGTCATAAATACTATCTTTTTTGCATGCATATGTGCTTATTTTTTGTTGTGATTCAGTAGTAAGTTCCTACTTCATTTTTTCTATGTTTCATATAAAAAAACTCATACTAACTCAAATCATACATATGATTTAATAACATTATAACAGGAGTAAAAACAAACTCATGTGCATTCAAACCTGAATGATTATTTATTCAGTGGAAAAACATTGCTTGCACAGATAAGAATACTTAAGCACAGCTATTAGTGAATGATAATTTATCTTAACAGAGAGGCGTTACTAAAATATCAAATGAAGGAGACATACAAAGGTGCAAAATCAAATGATTCTTGTTCATCACCCAGCTAAATCAGAAGCTTTAAGTCTGACACTAACTACAACACGTGTCCGGTGAGTAATCCAGGTTAACAGAGTTGTGCTTCACACGTGTGCCATCTGTATCTCCAGATAGCATGAGAACTGTGCACGTCTGCGTGTAACGTTCTCCCTGAGCAGTGCTGTAAACGAGAGCGAACAGGAAAAACAACTAAATTTGACATTCGCGGTCATGGGTGAGGTCTCACTGGGCAACAAGCCAACAGTCTGAGAGCTTGTTTCATCCTGGAAGATGTAGAGCTAAGAGGAAGAGGCTCAGAAAATGACAGCCGTGAACATCAACCGAAGGAACAAAGGCTGAACTTAGACAGGGCTGGCTTCTTCCTGCTCCTGTGGACATCCGATTTTGAATTTCAAAGCTATCTCCGGAGGAAAAGCAATAGGTTGTGTTCCATGCTGACTTCAGGTGCAAGTCTAAGTTTCAGTGAAGAAAAAAAAAAAAAATTTGATTCAGCTATATTGTCCTTGCACTCTTACTGAAAGTTCATAATTTGAAATTGTGGGAGTGGATGCAAATATTTAAAGAAATAGCTCATCCTAATGTAATTTACTCACCCTTTATGATGTTCCAAACTTGTATGAATTGTTCACATAGCACAAGATATTCACTTTTTTCTGATTTAATTTTGGGCTAACATGTTTTTTTTTTTTTTGTCTTGCAGTTCAAGATTTTCTGGTCATGGCAGTGGGCACCGAGGCTGCTGTTCGGTGCAATCTGTATGGGGAATATATCCTCACTCCCCTGCCGGACTGCTTATTCCTGAAGGACATTCAGACTAAGAAAGTGCTATTCAAATGGCCGTACTGTTACGTAAGGAAGTTTGGACAAGACATGGTAAGCTGGGGCATTTTTAAAATACATTAATAAATATCCAAGGGTGCATTAAATTGATCCAAATTTAAAGATATGCCAACAATGTTACAAAAGATTTCTAATTCAAATAATGTATGTTCTTTTGAAATTCTATTCATCAGCCTATTCATATCATATTAGAATGACTTCTGAAAGATCATGCGATACCTGATCGTGTGAAGACTGAGTAATGGCTGCTGATAATTCAGAATGCCATCACAGGAATAAATTACTTAAAACATTTTTTTTTTAAGTCGTAATATCATTTCACAATTTTACAATTTTATCATAAATATTACATAAAAATAAGCTTTGGTGAGCACTTCTTTTATAAAAAGCCTTCTTTAAAATACTACTACTACTACTACTACTACTA